CCCCGCACTCTGGGCATCGGGGACTGCGGCTTTGGGGTCGTCCTTACCAGGCACTCACTGAACCTCCAAGGCTGCTCTGTCTTCAGCAGCTTCACAAGGTCCCTCCTCTTCAGGAACCACACTGCACGAAGCAGCGCTTCCCGAGAGGCCTGCAGAGCAACAGAGACCAGGACATGGCACTGCAGCCCAGGGCACAGGACCCGTGTCCCTGGACCAAGGCCAGGAGGAGACTGGAGCCCAGAGCCCACAATGTGCCAGGACAGGAGGCAGCCCAGCCCCCTCCCATGGGACACCAGAGCCCACGAGTCCTCACCTTTTTCACGACCGGGTTCTCATCGTGCCGGTGGAAGTAGAGCGGGAGCAGGCTCAGGCACACGTGTGGCTTCAGGGGTCTCTTTCCCGCTCTCTCTATGAGTTTCATCACACGTGTGAAGATGACCATGGAGCCCTCCCGCACACTGCTGTCCTCCTGGTGGAAAGAAAGAGGAAAAGACCTCAGTATCAGCTTCTCCAGGCCCCAGTGGGCACAGACTTGAAAATCCACAGGGCACAAAGTTTCCCAGCAGCACCCAGAGCCCGTGGTGGGGGCACAGAGCCTTACGTGGTCAAAGAGTGGCCGGAGCGCCTCAGCCAACTGCAGGCCGGTGGGGGTGGATATTAGAGGGTCTTTGCTGTGGACCCTCTTCTGCAGCTGTGTCCAGACACTGCTCCAGAGCACATTGTCGAGCACAGAGAGTGTCATCCAAACCGTATCTCTGTCCTCGTCCCCCAGGAGCTGCACCAGGCTGTCCGACAGGCTCCAGATGCGCTTGTCCTGTGAGGAACACAAGGCTGTGCTGTGAAGCCATGAACGGCTTCAGCCCCAACCCCGCTCCAGCGGGGCAGCCCCACGTGCTGCTGCGGGGCCCGGAGCCCAAAGGCCTGTGCCGAGGGACTCTGGCAGCTGAATAGGGAGGCAGCAGAGCTGGCAGCAGCTGCCACAGCTCCCGAAGCCAGGCCAAGCCCAAGAGACTGTGTTACGTAGCCCCACGCTGCCCGCACGGCTTCAGCCCCTTCCCCCTCCTCACCATCCCAGAATCCTGGCTGAGCACCAGGAGCCCTCGGAGCGCCAGGCGACGCCTCTCTGGGCACTCGCTCCAGAGGTGCCTTGAAAGGCTCTGCAGAACGTTGCCTCCCCAGTCACGCATGTCCAGGCAGTCCAGGACCTGAAAGGCACAGAGCAGTGATGGGGTGCCCGGCTGGCAGGAGCCCAGACCCGCACAGGGCTGGGTCCTCCAAGAGGCCAGAGAGGTGGAGGCAGCTCGGTGAGGCAGTGCTCGCCATCAGGCTCACCTCCACAAGGAATGCCATAGCAGGGAGGTCCCAGCACGGCTCCTCCCTGCTCAGCAGCTCCAGCAGGTGGAGTGTGATGCGGGAACACAAGGGGCTGGAAACACGGCGCATCTCCCTGACAGGGGGAAAAAGGCACCATTGACTCCGAGCCCGGTGGGCAAACCTCTCCCAGGACGGACTCACAGGGCCCTGGTCTTTCCCCACCAACCCAGGAGGGATCGAGGGCACTCTGGGAGGCAGAAAGGACAGGGACAGCGGGGACAAGGGGGTCTCACCTGGCCAGCAGAGCCACTGCGTAGCGGCGGCTGCGAGCATTGAGGAGCCTCGCCCAGCCACGATTGTGGTCCACTGAACGCACCACATCCTCACAGTGCAGGCAGCAGAGCAGGGCCTTCATGCTCAGCACTGCAAATCTGTGTGCAGAGCAAAGCCCAGGTCATGCTGGGAACCCTGGCCCCAGCCTCGAGGGCATGGGAGGGAGGGGAGGACTGGGATGGAGCACCTGTTGGGGTCAATGGGAAGGTCGTGTTCCTCCCGGCATCCCCTCCAGAAGCTGTCAACCTCCTCGGACATCTGCTCTGTGGTGATGAAAACTTGGAAGAGCAGAGCCACGAGGAGATGGGGGGAATACTCCATCAATGGCCCTGGGCACTGGGGCT